CTCCACGACCCGTTTATCCGAGTCACCTCTTCAAAGGCCCTGCCTCTAAATCCGGTCACGTTCCGAGATACGTTCCGAGATACTCGGGGGTTGGGGCTGCAACACGGATTTCGGGAGGTCCTAATTCAGCCCATGACAGCCCGCCCACCGCGGGAGGAGAGGAGGCCGTGTGCATGTGCGAGGTGCAGAGGCCGCGACCTGCCCTTAATGGCAGACCGGCCGGAGCCTCCTGGGGGCCAGGGCTGCCCTTTCAGCCGCAGCTCGCCTCCTCCGAATTTACTTATCGCTCTTGGCCAGCGCCCAGGTCACTGCGGGGACAGCAGCCGTCCCAGGTGGGCGCCTTGCTGAAGCGCTGCCCTGGACTTGGGGACTTCAGTTGGCCCCAGCGGGAAGGCCAGGCAGCCTCCGGGGACCCACTGGGTCCCTTGCCTTTACCTCCTTAGGGGGATGCCAGGCCTCGCGGGGCGACAGCCTTTGGAGCAGGGGTGAGCCCTGGGCCCGTGCTGCCTCCCCTCTGCCAAGCTGCAGCGTCCCTCGGCGCTGGAGGGGTGTGTGCCCTGCTGCCTGGCACCGGGTGACCGTGCGCCCTCACGACGAAAAGTGAAAGTGAAGCTACAGGCTGGCGGTCTGCAGGGAGGGGCGACAGCGAGCTGTGACCTGCCGGTTAGGAAGACCACGGCGGCCGGAGGCGGGGGTGACCGAGGCCACTGCAGTCCCAAGCAGAAAGCCCCACCCGGCCCTCGGGAAGAAAGGGACAGTCGTGCAGGGCGGGACGCCGCTCAGACCTCGCTTCCTTGGCGGCCGCCCTGGCGCCAGGCCCTGATGGGGATGGGAGAGCTCAGCGGTGCTGGCGCCGCGAGGGCTGGGGAGGAGGCGGCTGGGGAGGCGCGGAGCTCCAGAGCTGGGCGGCCCCCTCGGGCCTCCTCCGCAGCAGCCGACGGGGTTAGAGGGACGCTTTTAAAGGAAAGGGGGCGGTGCCGGCAGGTGGCTCAGGGGTTCCGGCGCTGGCCTCCCACCCGGTCCGCCCCAGTTCGAGTGGCGGCTTGAACACTCTGGGCACGTGTGTGTGCCCAAAATCCGGAGAAAAGAATGGAGGAGAAGGGATTGCAGTGTGGCCATCCCCCTGGGGGTGATTTCTCCTTTTCTATCTCTGTCTCTCTCTGGCAAGCGCATGCGCCCTGGGACCCCCCACTGGCCTCAGTGGAGGGACCCACAGGCCGCCAGGACAATGCCCCACTGTCCTGATGTGCCCTGGAGGTGAGAGCAGACGACTGCCCATCCGCGAGGCCTCCACGGCCAGAGGTGCCCGACTCTACTGTGCTCAGTCCCTTCTCGGAAGCCCCCAGGCTGTCATTCTCCGGCCTTCCTCACAGCCTGCACCTGCTGCTCCCCTCTGGGCCTCAGGCCTGCCCCTCCACAGAGGACCTATGCTCCTCTGGGGGTGGGGGAGCACTTTGCTCTCTACTTGTTCTTCCCATCTGCCTTTTCTTCTTTAGTCCTTCCCTTACTTCATGGTCAGGTTCAGATGCTATCTCCTTCAAGAAGTCTTCCTAGATTTCTTTCCTAGTCTGCGCTGTAACTGAGGCTGGAACCTGAGTCTCAGGCATCTTGTAGCCCACACGGCTCTGCAGGCAGCAGACCCTCCTTGCACAAGGTGGGATCCTCAGTGGCTCAGAGGGCAGCTCATCGGAGGTTGGCTGGAAGGTTCAGGAAGAACCAATGCCCTGTCCTTGCAGCTCTGCAGAGAGCAGAGTGACAGAGCTGGACAGGGAAGACAGCCTTCCACCCAACAACCCTTCCAGGGCAGCCCCCCACCCCCACCCCAGAGGGCAGAGGAGTTGAGCTCACAGTGCCAGTGCGAGTGTGGCAGTGACTTGACACCAAGAGTGGAAGCGGGTGGAAGGTGCCCCTAGGTTATGACTTGCCCTCTGGCTGCAGGGGCACTTCCATGCATTGAAGGCGGAAGGGTCACTTTTCTCACCATTGGCTAGGGGAGGAGGTGTGGAAAATGCCAGAGAGAGCAATAACAGCCTCTCTTACATCCCACAAAAGCCTAAAAGTCTAAACAGAACTGCAGCTGTAACAGAGACCAAGGCACTAACCTCCAGGAAAGATGAGCAGAAAGAGGAAGGCACAGGCCTGGAGGCCTTTACATGAGCTGCGGGGTGTGTGTGTGGGGGGGCGTGTCTCATGCGTCCTCCTCCTGGGCAGCCCGGCTCTGCAGAGAGCAGAGGGACAGAGCTGGACAGGGAAGACAGCCTTCCACCCAACAACCCTTCCAGGGCAGCCCCCACCCCCACCCCAGAGGGCAGAGGAGTTGAGCTCACAGTGCCAGTGCGAGTGTGGCAGTGACTTGACACCAAGAGTGGAAGCGGGTGGAAGGTGCCCCTAGGTTATGACTTGCCCTCTGGCTGCAGGGGCACTTCCATGCATTGAAGGCGGAAGGGTCACTTTTCTCACCATTGGCTAGGGGAGGAGGTGTGGAAAATGCCAGAGAGAGCAATAACAGCCTCTCTTACATCCCACAAAAGCCTAAAAGTCTAAACAGAACTGCAGCTGTAACAGAGACCAAGGCACTAACCTCCAGGAAAGATGAGCAGAAAGAGGAAGGCACAGGCCTGGAGGCCTTTACATGAGCTGCGGGGTGTGTGTGTGGGGGGGCGTGTCTCATGCGTCCTCCTCCTGGGCAGCCCAAACGTTCCGCCAGGTCATGGGGATCTCTCGGTTTCTGTGTTCCCACGTGGTGCCTGATGTACAGTAAGCGTTCGATAACCGTAGGCTCGGCCACGTGGGCTCGGCCACAAGAGTGAACAAGCCATGAGTCTGAAGGATACACAGCCCCCCTCGACATGATGCTCACATTGAGGACAGAAGAGCGGCAGGCGGTAGTGTGTTTGTCAACCCACAGCCAGGCGCAGTGCGGTGACATAAATCACTGATTGGAGGGATCAGCAGTCAACATAATGGCTGTCGCTGGACTCCCATGTAGTCGACTGTGGTTTGAGTCCCAGAGCCAGTGGCTTAAACTCACACTGGGCGCGTGTGCATGCGTGCCCAAGATCCCAAGCAGAGAATGGAGGAGAGGGGATTGCTGCATGTCCATCCCCCCTGGCGGGTGATTTCTCACTTTCCGTCTCTCTGTCGCTTTGGGAGCACCAATCCCTATTCCTAAAACCTCCCTCAAAAAAAAAAAAAATCACTGATTGAAAAAAACATAAAACCTCTATTTTCTCCTTTGGACTTTTCCTGCTTTCATAATTGACTACAGTAAATAGATATTTTTTCCCTTAGATTTTTGCTACAGGAGCGTGCATTCACTAGAGACAGAAAGCAAGAAATTGCCCTAGGCGGGGGG